TGTATGTGATCCATAGTCATACCTATGGTAGATGATACAATGTGTATGGTGATTGTAGTCACACTGAATATACTGAATATGATGAATAGGATGTACGTAATCCGTAGTCATGCCTATGATAGATGATATAATGTGTATGGTGACTCTGATCACACTGAATATACCGTATATGATGTTTATGATCCATAGTCATACCTATGATAGATGATATAATGTGTATGGTGACTATAATCACAGCGAATATACCGAATATGATCCTATGATCAATATAACATACATAATGAATGTCACGATCATACTGCGATGAAAATCATACACATGGTGAATGCAATGTCCGCGATGACTACCATGGCAGCTGTTACCACACAGTATCCTACCCATCCGCATGTGTCCTGAATAGAAAATTTGCCCAAGCACAGTCCAGTCATAATCGATACCGATTCACTGACCCAACAGGCGTTGCAATATTAACCAGGGATCGTTACACAAACTACCAAGATTTATATTTATCGTTTCTGCTTCATCGCGTCACGTTTATCGGTCGAAAACCAACAAAGAAGTCGAAATACTCGCGGAACGTTGGTTTAGAAACTGTTTACACAGTGAGACCACCATTCGCTAAACAATGAAGTCATCGTGGTCTAATTATTTCTAGCACTGTTGTACATTTTTCAGGGGTTAGCGAATCTTTCCACCCCCTCTGCTAATAGAGCGAACTTCCAAAAATATTCGAGCAACAGGCCCGTTCGCCTACAAGCGCGCGTCAAACCCCTCCCCGTATCTCTCTAAAGTGTTCAGGTTCCTGGCATGCGTCGCGACGCCTCGTGCACGTCACCCACAGTGGCAATCGGTCGGTGGAAAAGAGCGCCGCGATCTCATCTCCCGTGACTAACGTAAACGAACGTCGATCGTCTCGATTTCTTAGACATCCTTTGAAAACAAGCTCGCCTCACGCTTCATAAAACAATAAACCAACTGTCTTACCTCTCGTCCGGTAGCGAGAGTAAAGATCGAATACATACGTCTGTGAAGCATAGAGTCGAATAGCATCGCTCCTTCCATTCCCAACACAAGTAAAGACCCAAATAAGAACAAGACTAACCGGACGCATTAGTAGCCCAGCGGGAAAAACGATCGACTACAAAGCCGAGGGACCCGAGTTCGAATCCCATCTCGACGCACAAAATGAAAAAAAAAAAGAAATTATTTAATTTTCACAGTCTCACAAGACCATTTACCACTCACCGTTCGCTTCTCAAACCAATATTTCCCCCTTGCCGCCGAGTCTGAATCGAAACAAAAAAAATTGTCAGTATCAAGTGGCCCGTACGCGGTTGGCGAACGTCAGCTGGTCATCGTCGCGACGCCTCGTGCACGGTCGGCGCCGAGGCCGTCGGTCGCGTGGCGTTAGACCAAGAGAGCCGCCCTCACTTTCGCCGCGTCTGCCGTCGAGGACGCGTGTCTGGTCCGCCCCGGCGCCGATCGATCGATCATCCACGGATCGAGCTTTCCGTTCACGAACACAACAGTGCGTCGAGGGAAATCGTGTCCGTACCGCGGATAAACGGGGGTGGTCTGCCGTCGAACGGCCTTGAACGCGCGAAACAGACAAACACAGCCACCATATCGTCTCTCTGGCATGAATATTTGAAATCGCGGTTATCGATCTAGCGGCGAGGAACACGTGCGCTCCGCGATCCGTTGTGTGTCACTGTGATATACCGTGAAAAAGAGAAATCGAGCCTTGCAGTTCCGTTTCGTCTTGCAACCACGCAGCGAACGCACCAGGTACCGACCAGATCCAAGGACGTTGAATGGTGTATCACTGTCGCCCGCGGCTGTGTCTTCGTGCTCAATGTTCCATGTCCGTTTTTGTGAATTGTGGCGTGCATCGTGCCGTGAAAACAGGACTTGACGCGACTTCCAACGGGAACTCGCGGCACCTGTGTCCTTATCGTGGATCCCTTCGCGAAACCTTAGTATCCGAGAAGCTCCGTCCCGGGAGTGCCAGTTTCCCTGAGTCTAATTTCTGTGATTGATTATGTATCTGTGTAACGCTGCGAAGTAGTTTATACGGTGTATCTGGGTCGAGTTTCTGTATCCTGCGTTTTGGAAGGTCGAGAATCGTACAGTCCGAGGGGCTTTGATTAACTTTGCTAACACTATCGAGTGTTTTATTTAATTTTCTACAAGACTATTATCGGAGTGCCTCTGAAAACTGAGCCTAGTACCCTAGGAGCTTTGACAATCTTCCTTCCGGGACTCGAGAATCCCAGTACCTGAGGAGCTTTATATTGTCGAGTGCTTT